ATTCATGAAATAAACTTTAATTCAAATTTTCAGAAAATGAGGTAAAATTATAGAAGATGGCACAATATCTTCTCCTCTTTGATGATTTCTTTAGTGCAAAACATGTACTTCTTTCATACAAAATGAAGTTTTACAGGAAACAAATATTAATTGAAAACAAACGCCTTAGGTTTGTAATAAACAAAAGTCACAAGGCTTTTATCACTATACAAAAAATTCCACCCTTGAAAGTTATGACAGTGTTGTCTTCTTGCCACATAGACCAGTTCATCATCATTTTTTTGTATAGTTTAGGTATGGATCTTGAGCAATAGCTAAAACATCGGGTCTGTCTGCTTGATTATATGTTAGACACCGACGAATAAATTCCTGCACGGAAATTAAAACATTATCGAGTAAGTTATAAGGGAGTAAGTGATTTACATTGAAATGAACCAAAAATCAAGACAATAGAGTAACATATTCAACTTCGAGTTTGACGACTGTAACTCTATACAGCTGTAACTAAAATAAGTACAATAAACGCTTTATATTGAAAAAGAAATTCAGACGATTTGTTTTTTACCTTTGCCTCATTTGATACAGATGGTCTTGAGGGAAATTCAACTTTACGAGCTTTGATAATCGTATCTTCACGCAATATTCGCTCTTGAGTTTGGTTGTGCCCAAATGGCCGTTTTCCGAACAGCATTTGGTACAATAAAATACCCGCAGACCAAACATCAACCTGTTTCCAGCAATGCAAAAGAAACCTTAGTATTCCTTTTTTATTAAAAACAAAAGAAACCCTTAATAATCTACAAACTAAATGTTGAATTTCCATACTTGTTAAGACAATTACGATTTCCCAATTTGCACACTGACCTTTGAGGAAATGAGAGGTATCTTACTTAGCTCAAAACATTCAGGAGGCAAATACCTGAAATTATTCAATCTCGGTTATGACAAATCAAGTTTATTTGACAGCTGGAGTAATAAACTGCTAATAGTCGAGACTAACCAATAAGTTCCAGCGCCCTGAGACGTAAGTTCCATGCCTTGGGATCCGACATCATCCTCCACAATCTTGCTAAGACCAAAGTCTGTGACTTTAGCAATACCCAAGTCATCGAATAGAACATTTCCAGGCTTCAAATCGTAATGAATAATTTTTTGTGATCTTTTATTAAGGTAAACAAGGCCTTGAAATATCTGGACAATAACGATCCTAGCTTCTCTCTCTGGCAGTGAAGGTGTTGCTTTAAGAACTGCATCGAGATCCTTGCCTAGAATTTAAACAAAAACTTTGAATTACCTTCATCATATTCTCTTTGAGGAGATTTTTTTTTTTTAAATTGATGATATAACTAAGGAAGCACTTGTGTGAGTAATCATACCGCTGCAATATTCCAGGACAGTGCAGAATGTGTTTTGATCAATCTCAAAAATGTCCCAAAGCCGAACTATATGGTGATGAACCAGCGTCTTGTGAATGTTGTATTCCCTGATCGCATGTCGTATATAGCTCTGCTTCTTATCTTCACTCCACTGCGCGTTCAGACCATGAAGCTTACAGGCAACATATCTATGTTCCACCAAGTCAAAAGCCTGCCAACATCTTTCACTAAGTATCACCAAGTTTCTTTGGAATGTCAAAAAGAAGAGGAAAAAAAAAAAAAAAGGGGGCCCTGACCTTATAAACCTCACTAAATCCTCCTTTGCCAAGAAGGTTTAAGAGAGCATAACGATGATTCAGTATCTGAAAATTGTTGAAACGAGAGCCATCCTCATCTCTTAAACGTTTCATTTCACGTATAAGTTTTCCTTTCTCCAATTCATAGCGCTCTCTTTCACGCATTACTGTTTCCTCCTCCTAAAGACAATTCAGGTACAGCGTATGAAATAACGAAACAACCAATGAGAAGGAAGTACAAGGATAAAGAAACTTTACACGCTTGATGCTAGCCAGACGGGACTTAAATATTTCATCCTGAATGAGAACATCTTCTTCTTGAAAACCATCCTCGGTTTCACTTGTGTCGCCTTTATCTGCAATAGATCATCATGCTATAAGTTCTCATTGTAATAAGGACAAATGACATCAAAAGGTCGAGATTTGTGAAGATGTAACGAAAGCATTTACCAGGCTGGCGTTTCTTCAGGGATTTCCTCTGCCTCTCAATGGCCTCCTTATTGTCCAACAATCTCCTCTGAACAAAAAAATATTGATTAGGTAAACACCATGCAAGGAAAATTGTTTTAGTAAATATGAGTTAATAAAACAATAAAAACAAATCAAGACAGGAAAGAGCATACAAGGTTAGCATTGAGATCCTTTAGTGTTTGCCCATCCTCCCATGCTTCGGATATGATTGTCCCAGCTCTATCAATTCATTGACGAATAAAATGTAAGGGGATGAACATGATAAGAGATGCTAAAGACTCATTGCATAAAATAATAAATTTCAGCTAATTCACAAGCATGCCTTTATGCAAGCGCCAATCAAGAGAGAATGAGTGGTTTCTTCATTCTTTTGATGACAATGTTTCATTCATTCAAACAATCAGGGATCTATTTTTCTCTCTACCTAACAGGATGCCTCGGTTAAAATTAAAAATATTGAAATACCTGACCACCCCCACATTGCCAAGTCTCAAGGAATCTTGGCGTACTTTCATCCTCGCCTCGTGTCTCTCAGCTTTTGATACAGATATCAATAAGTCAGATATCACTTTTATTCTCTGCAACAAACAGCAAGTATTTACTTGTAAAGGAAAGTCAACATATAAAGGTCATCAGCTAAGAGTTAATCCGTATATGTCAAGAATAACAGTCAGGTCTTGCACAAATCATGAATGTTGACTGTTAAACTTAATCTTTCCCTTTATTTTTCTCTTTAGTGTAAATTGTGAATGAAACCGCCTCCAAAAGGAAAAAAAGCAAAAAAAAAAAAAAAAAAAAACCAAAACAAACTGATGAGAATCAGAGGTTGAAGGGAGTCAGACTAGAGAAAACATAAACCTTTGGCTTCATCTGCTGCTCATAATCTTTGAAATCCTTGAGCTCCTGTTCAAGTAAGAAAAATACATACAAATAAATGAATACGGGTTTCTGCAGTAAAAGAAAAAAGTAACTTAATATGCTGATATAACCAGCAGAGAGAACATAATAGGTATAATTTATTAACTTTTTTACATCGGAAACTCCAAATAAAAAGGAGAAAATACCAGTAATACCTTTTCAAGGCGCTCACACTCATTGCGATAATCAGAGGCCTCTTCGTGCGATTTTTTCAGCTCTTCCTCCAGTATTGCAACCTTTGTACGCAAGGAAGTCACTTCATCCTATTATCATTTATAAAAAAAATAGGTAACGTTACCAAATTAATAGCTGACTAGCTCTACATATGATACGGTTGCAAATATTGCAAATAATAAAGAAACTACGTTAGCAAAACTGAAAAATCTAGGTTGAATTTCAAATTTGAGTATAAATTTTTTAAGGGTAGAAATTAAAACAAATTATACCTCCGTTGAAGAGTGGCCATCCTGCCTCAGCTGCTCTTTAAAGAACTCATCCTGCATACTCAGCAAAAGAAGAGGAGTAACCAAATGCATCAATTTTCCATTAACAATTAGCAATTAGCAATATCAAGACATCACTAATAAATCCAATAAATTGTCCGACTACAATTTCATGTATCATACCCTTTTTCAACAATTCAGATAAGCTAAATCTACTTACATTTCCTCCATAACGCTCACATTTTATTCATAAATAGATGATGTATATGCTTGGGAAATGGTAAAATATCTCCTCAATTTCAAAACCTTCATTACTAAAATGAAACTATTTATAGCAAATGATTCATTGGCAAGTCAAGCAAAATAGGCAGCTGTATAACTTATTAAAAAAAAATCAACTACCATAAATGCTGTATACCTTGTGATGTGAATTTTCGACCTGACCGTTTGATGGAGAAATCGTCTGATTTCTTGCCTGGTCAGTAACTCGACCACGGCCTCTACCTGAAGCAGAATTAGCCCTACCACGTCCTTGTTTTCTTTTATTTACTTCAGCACCTACCTTGTTCGAGTCTACAGCTTCTATGGTCTTTTGCCTAGCATCAGTTGCTGACAAGTGTATATTCCCTGAAAAATTACTATCCTAAAACGAAGAAACGGAATAGGCAGTTAGAAATTGAAAAAAAAAAAAACAGAGAGAAAATAGTTCAGCAGAAAATCATGGCAACAGGAAAAGGAAACTGTACCTCAACATGTTCGACTAAAGTAGCGCTGCAACCTTCTTCAACTTTACGTCGTTTTTGAGTGTTTGCTTGTATGAGAAAAGCTCCTCCATTCTGCCACGTGAGCATAGAAAGTCAAAATGAGAGAGATGGAATAAATGCAATGCATGGACAAAAGAGATGCGTACTAATTAATCTCTCTGAATACGAATAAGGTAAGTAGAAGAGAAAATTAGGTAATGTAGAGTGCCAGTTTCCTACATAAAATGGATGGGATATAGAAATGTTGCTATAAGAACCTCTCAACAAAATTGAGAACAAATTACTAATGGGCCCTGATATGAGAAGGCGGTGCAAGAGTCATGTATAAGATTGCTGCTATAGTGGGGATGAACTTTGTATAATGAAACACGTTTTTTTTGTTTCAGTTAGAAAGGTGTTAAAAAGGAAAAACCAGATCAAACACGACGGTTAGAGAGGTTTACGTTAGTAATACACAATTATTTTTATATGTTTCAATAGATGTAACAGGTTCACAAGATAGCATAATTTTTCTTTCATATTCTCATTAAGAATTTGCGCAAATTTTCTAAAGAAATGCCAACTGTGTTGTTTCAATGTTGTCTCCTATGCCCGCAAATCAAGTCTAGCCAAAACAGGTATGACTTTGAAATATAGAAAGGATGTCTAGAAGAGCATACAATTGAGAGAATAATAAAGATGAAGCAAAAATTTTAGCTCGGTCCGCTCTTGGTGATTTATTAAAGAAATAAAACATGACTAACAAGTTTTAGACTTTGCATATATGCATATGCAGATAAAATTGTTGCCCAAATTATGACTTGAGTTTCTCCTTAGAGATTCTCATATCTAGTTTTCTAACTAGTAATGTGTCTTTTTGGTGGCACCACAGAAACTCCATTACAAAATGATCATCTTGTATTCAATTTCACAAACGCACATCAAATGGATACACCTCATGCTCAATTTATCTAAGGATTTTTTTACATATAAATTTTATTTATCTTTGATTTGGAGGACGGCGTGAAACACCAAACGGAAACAGAAAATTCTAAATGCTTTAACAGTCTCTCAGTGTGTGATTTGTGATGTGTGATGTGTGATGGGTTTTCTTGAGAAACAGATGAAGGACTTTGAAAACATAGTAAATAAATTTGATATAACTTATGTTTCAATCACAAAATACTGAAATAGACATACTTCTAAAGTAAAAGGCAAAAACCTAGTCAATAGGAAGAAAACATGCCCAACAGTTATATAGAATAACAAGTGAATAAGTGTAAGCAAGTGTTAGTCAATATGTATTTGTTGCCTTGGCACTCCAGAGATCAGCCATGACTGCAGTTGAACATGACACAGCTTTTGCATGCCATCTGTTCTTGCAACTCCATTCCAAATATATCCAACACGTTTTCGTTGGCAAACACAGGTATAGCTAGTTATTTTTATATAGCCCCTGCAGCCTTGCTGCCATAGTGTTTGCAACAGAAGCTAAGATCCAATTAGTATTTTCCGAAACTCAAAAGCTAGCTCCAAAATGCTAGTACAAACGAATACTCTTTCCAAGAGAAAAAGTCGAGTTAAGTTGATGAAATACTCGTACTTCTAACATATAAGCATTCTCAATTTTCAGCTCTATCATTGTGAAGTAAAATTGTGCTTTAATCAACACGTTGGTCACGATACTAGAGTTAGTATCCATCATGACCATTGAAGCCATAATATTTAAAACCACTTCCTAAATTAAATGCATCAGAAACATCAGCATCATTACCTTCTACATTTGTTGTAACTCATTTAAACATAAGTACAAAATCTCGAGTCCACACTCCTCATGGATGAACTTCTTATACTGAAAGTGAACGTGATAAGCACTAAGCATCATCAGAAACCCAACTTCTATAAACTATATATACGCGTGCCAGCTAGTCTCGAAGAACCGCTTAGGTCCCCCTTTTCTCTTTCTTTTTCTCTTTTTTTTTTTCTTTTTTTTTTGCTTTTTTTCTTAAATACAAATATAATAAAAAAAATCTATTAGATAAAAATGCACCTTAAGCATCAGTAATCACGCATTTTTTATCAACTATATAAGCATGAAAGATACGGTAGCTAGTTAATTCAGGTCCCTTTGTGGAATAGTATTTAATTGCATCGATTCAGTTAGCTCAATGAAATATGAAAAGACCAAAATTCAAATTCTGAACAACAAGCATCAAAATTCAAATACTCACATCATCATCATCAGAATCATCACTATCAAGCAGAGAATCGGGCAGACTATCGGGATTCCCTCCAAACTTGGCAGGGGTAGACCATGAATTCAGCTGCGCCTGGACTTGGGGCTGCGTGACAACTGTAGATGAAGGCTTGCCCACCAATCTAGCCTCGAGTTTCGCAATCTTTGAGGATTGATCCGATTGTTCGAAGAATGGAAGCGAAATGC